GCCCCTGGCGGGAGGTGGGGGTGGGGGGCCTGCAGACAGCGGCGGGCTGCCGTACTCACCGCAGAGCTGGGCAGGCAGGGCTGCAGCCTGCAGCAGGATGAGGAGCAGCCACATGCCGGAGCGTGGCAGTGGGTGCCGTGGCATGGCACAGCACGGCTGGCAGCCTGGCAGAGGCAAGGCAGAGCCCAGCTGAGCCGAGCCGGGACGCTGCCGGGGACGGGAAGGTGTCACAAGAGGCTGTTTCCGCACACCGGGGCCAAGTCAGCAGAAACGGGAAAGGACTTTGGCTGCAGGCAAAGCAAAGGGAAGCGGGGCCGCCTGTGCCGGGGCAGAGATAAGGTTCTCACGGCCGCTCTTCAATCCCGGCTCCCTGACTTGGCACGAACCCCGCGAGCACCGAGGTCTCGCTGCCCTCTGCACCACAGCTGGGGCAGCGAGACCCAAACTGCTGGCGTTTGGGTCAAAATCACTGCTCAAAGTTAGCCCCTCCCCCCCAAAAAAGGAGGGATGAAAACCCCCAAAATCCTGTGCCCTCCATCCTTGCAGCCTTTGAAAGCAATAACTCCACTGCTCGCCTGGAACTGGATTTTTATTGAAAAGGAACATGAGGATTAATCAGCCCAGCTCAGCAGACGAGGGGTGGCTATGGGGGTGCTGAACCCCAAAAGGTAAATCCCTGCAGCCGAGGGGAGGGGGGTCCCGGGGCGCTGCTGGGGCTCAGGTCTCCATCTGTCAGGGGACACCCGGGCTCGGAAGGGGGTGATGGGCCATAGGGACGCCCGCCTGCCCCCCACAAAACCCCTGCAGCTGGCAGGGGCTGAGGACAGGGCTCCCGGCTTCCACCACCCCCCGGGACATGGCGGGGACCCTCACCCGGCACAGCTCGGCCGCAGTGCACCCACGGGTGCCCCACCGGTGATGCCAGGCAGGGAGGTGACCTGTCCCCTGCACTGCCGAGCTCAGAGGGCACGGGGGGGATGGACGGGGGATGCAGGAGGGTGTGGATGAAGCACCCAGGGAGGGCAGCGCATGTCACCGGACCCACTGCAACCTGCAGGGGGTCCAAGTCCCACCTGGGGGCAAACAAGGAGCTCCAGCGACCCACCACGGGTCAGGTCCAAGCTTGTGTTATCCACAGCCCCACATGGGGTCAGACAAGTCACATAGAATCATAGAACCATTTATGTTGGAAGAGACCCTTAAGATCATCGAGTCCAACAGTTAACCCAGCACTGCCAAGGCCACCAGTAAACCATGTCCTCAAGCACCACGTCTCCCCGGCTTTTAAATCCCTCCAGGGGTGGGGACTCAGCCACTTCCCTGGGCAGCCTGTGCCAGGGCCTGACTGCCCTTTCGGTGA